TAAAATAAATAATAATTATAGTAATTATATAAAAAAAAATTAAGCCAACCAGGATCTTATTTTAATCAGATTGACATAATATCATACATATGCACATCAATTTGTTTCACGATTTTATTTAAGATGGCCTAATGGTGGCCATTTTTGTGCTAAAAATCATCAAAATCAAGCATTTTTTATGTTGGACATTATGGGACCTTGATGCACATCATTTTTTAGATTCAATTTAATGGATGCAGTTCTAGTGCCATATCTCTGACATGCTTTGACTGATTATGTTCAAATTTTATATACTCATTATACATCATGATATAGATATATTGGTTTGACTATCTGATTCAAAATGGTCAAATGGCAGCTATTTTTGTGCTAAAAAATCTTAAAAAATGAAGCATTTCTGGCATTCCAGAACTGCATTTAGATGGATTTTTTTCAAACTTGGTACATACATTAGAGATTATGGGTTCCCGATGCATGTTGTTTGATTTTTCAGATCGGATTAGAACATGGCTGACTGACAGCCATTTTGTTTAAATGAATGTGCTTCTAGAGCCAAATCTCTGATATGCTTTGACTGATTATGTTCAAATTTTATATATTCATTTTACATCATGTTAGGCCAAAAAAAAAACAATTGTTTTGTTGCCCTCAGCAACTGATCGAAAATATGAAAAATATCGGGTTGCATTTTTTTTTTTTTTTTTTTTTTTTTTTTTTATAATAGGCTCAAATATTAAAAACTCACCATTTTAAGCAGTAAGAAAGTGTTTCCTCTAAAATTAACGATCCCGGACCGTTGTTTAATCCCCTGGGTCCCGGGGGGGGGGGGGGGAGTGGCGACATTGAACCTCGGGTTGATCTGAATACTATGAAGTCCATATACCTGGGCTATTTACGATACCCTTAGTTTTCATGAGTTTAAACAAAAAAAAATTCGACTGACAGACCCAATTTTTCAATTTTCCGACTTGAGGGCAACATAATTTTTTTTTTGTCCTTATAGATATATAGATGTATTCAAAATGGCCGACTCATGGCCATTTTGTTAGTTCCCATTCGGATGAAGTTGGAAAACGGGGACTTATAATTCGTCTCCGTCCGTCTCTGTGTTCGTTCGTCCGTCATATTTCAGAATCCGTCCGACCGATTCTATTAATTCTTTGCATGTGCCTAGTACTTGATTTCATTCAAATTTGGTACATAGATTATACATGTTAGGATACATGTCCTCATCTGTCTGTGTGTGCGTCCATCAGTGCATGCGTCTGTCCGTCCGTCTGTGTGTGCATCCATGCGGAGTCATATTTCAAAATCTTTTGGACCAATTTTGCTCATTCTTTGCATGTGGTTAGTACTTTATGTGGGACATATGCACATGCAGTGGTTTAGTGATTCGATTCAAAATGGCCGACTGGCATCCATCTTGTTTTTATTTTAAATGTTATGTCTTGGACCTGCTTTGCCAGTTTTCATTCAAATTTGGCATATATACTTTATATGTTAGGATAAATGTCCATGACAATTTGTTCCGAAATCGGATCAAGGATGGCCAATTGCAGCCATCTGACTTTTTGGCCTTACTACTATATTTCCAAGATTTATGTACCATTTTCATTTGTATTTGGCACATACATCATACATGTCACTTTGTTTCATAATCAGATCAAAGATGGACGAATAATGGCTGTTTTAATTTTGGCCATGTTACTATATCTCTGTCACCCATGTATCATTTTCATTGATATTTAGCATGTCATAAATGGATACATGTAGGTAGTCACGCAACACGTGTTCGAATTTGATATAAATAAACAATCTGTTGTATACGCCACTTTGGACTCAAGTTTCAAGGACACGCTCGCAACAACCCCTCCACTTTAATATGACAAGCACAAAGAGAACTTTCACAAATTTAATGGGGACTGTGTCATTTTCAATGACTTGTTTTAATTAATGCTGTTCCAGTACTCGCTTGACAATCAGATACAAGATGTCAATCATTTTAATGTTAAAAAATCATCATAATCAATCATCTTCTGGATCCATACTTCTGACATGTTTATGTTACAGCTATATTACTATAAACAAAACTATATATTTTAAATTTGATAACTAACGGGGACTGTGCCATGCATGACTTGTTTTTTCATTATTTTTACAGTGCTTATAATCTTGTTTCTGTATTTTTCTCAGAAATGGGCACAACTGTTTTCTTGTCTTCATATAAAATCTTGTGCCAACTTGGAGACCAATGAATAGTAAACAAGTATTAATTTGTATTATGTAAACGCTGTTACTTTGCTATTTCCACCAATCAAATAATCAAAACACAGGGATGCTGACATCTTCGTTAATTTCATCATTATTATTTGTAATTTTAACTTTGACTGGAATATCAATGACCGGTAACATTACGCTGTTTCGTCTGGGAAATCATATGTCACATTTGCTCCATATTTGGTGATATTTTAAATTTTTCAAATAATGTGTTCGTAAGTTCCATAGACATTTAATTTAAATAGTTCTGTGCAAAATTTGTCAAATGAACAATTCAAGTAATGGAAATGCGATTCAGTCAATTCACATATATCAATGTATCTGCCATATTGATCCCACTTTACACAGACTCTGAAGAGTCGGATACGCACTATTGATGTATTTGCAGTATCCTCATATGACGAAGTGGAACATTTGAAGGATCTTGGAGAAGGTCAAATATAGTTCTCAGTTTACTTTTTTCCATTAAAATAATTTCCATAAATTCGTATACTAGTGTATACTTTCCAAACAGATTTTTAAGATTATTTATTTGACTTTTTTGTTTTGCCATTAAAAGATTTTTCTTGAATGAAATTTAGTGAGTTTTCTTGTAAAATTGATTGTATTACATTTACCTATTTGTATTTGTTGTCTTAAAGTACTTCTAAAGCATTCACCGAAATCTCTTTTTTGATAGGTCCTGCAGTTTTCAAGCCAGGGGAGGCGATTGGAGCACCGGATCATCCACATCGAGGATTTGAAACAGTCTCATACATCATAGAAGGCAGTATGCAGCATAAAGACTCTCTAGGAAACAAAGGTCATGTGACTATTCATGTAGAAATGCATCACGTAAGCTTAGAATTCTAGCAATAAACTCATCATAGAATCATAGTATCATAGAAATCATCATGGAAAATGAAGTATTATAAATAATCTCTGCTTATTTGCCAGTTTATTGGGATGATAATGATAGTTAGCGACAATAAATAATCATATTTACTGATAGTTAAAAGATGGCTATACAAAAAGGCTAATGCTAGTTAATGGCATATTTGGAGGTCAAGGTTTGAGTAAGTGAGACCTGAAGTGCAGAGGATGTTTACCAGAATTATAATCCCATCCAGGTTAACATCTGTTTAATATACAAGCCAATAAGTAGTATTACTATTAATAGCTGATTGTGATGTATTGCATACACAGACATTCATTGTTGTGTTCAATGTAGAAGCCTTGATTTTGTAAAATGGCTTACTATATATTGCGTAGTCTCACTGTATTCAAATACTTCATTAACACCTATCTTGATCATTGTATGTAGCTGGAATCCTATGGAATCGCATCTGAGCACATGTCATTTTCTGATTTCATCAACAGTTCTATAGTGGGAATTTTGTAATGGTGATTTGATGGCCGAATAAATGTATCTTGGCTGGCCAAGATGGTTTTGACTATGCCCTTACCAAACTGTTTTTTTGTGGCAACTAGTTCACACGCTTGTGGCAAGCAT